GGTTCTAAGAATATCCTCCTTTGCCTATCCTATTTCCCTCCCCCCCCAAAGAAACTCTATAACCACCGTTTTTGCAGGACAAATGCTGGGACTACGGGATATATGAGTGGGCCTAAATAAGCTACTTTTGCCGGTTATTGTTATAAGTCAAAGGCAAAAGTGACCTCTAAAAACAGTCCTGCCGACCTAACGTTACCAGTGCTTTCCTAATTTCCTGGGATGACCTTATGCGGATCGAAATGCTTTTGAACAGGAGTCATATTCGAACAAAGGAAATGCGTCAAATCAAAAAAACTTGTTTCAATGTACTATAAAGGCCGCCCTGCACCCTATCGTTAGATATTTTGCTTTGCGTAGTTAAAATCTTGTCAAATTCTTTCGTCATCCAAACCCTAGTGCTTATGCTTGCTCTCTAGGAGAGAAGAGAAGATCTTGTTGTTTTAACTGACGTAAAAAGGAGCTAGGGAGAATTTTGCCGTGGTTTTGAAGTTAAAGCCAGACGGTGGGTTCCTGAGTTTCTTTTTCTTTTGTTGCAGCTACGGACGAGGGCGAGTCACAGGAACAGAAGACGGAACCTGTGAAAGTAATATCTACTGACGAGTCCACGTGATATCGTGGTGAATTTTTCTCTCTCCCATTCCCGTCTATCCTGGACAGAGTTCAACTTCTAATACTCCCTTGGCCCCCCTTGTTCCTGTTGACGTGTTTCTCACTGGTTTTCGTATATTACCCTCCTTTCTACATGTCACTTGGTTGTTGAGTGCATCCATTACGACCAGGAGAACGAGAAAATGGAAACCTGGAGAATAGAGAACTTTGTACACCTACAATCTGCTCAACACCACAGCCGGTGTCAAAATTCGAACCTGCCGGCACCTTCGACTCGATAAGTGGCTCGCATACTACAGTGGTGGCAGCTCGACGGTCCAGCTCCCCCCAATTCCTAACAATATTCTTAAATATGACGGGGAAGAATCCTTCACTGTTTGGCTTCGAAGGTCCAATTTCTGTTTACGCAACGTCCCTGCCGAACATCCCAGCGACCTGCTCTTGGAAGCCCTCCCAACCCCCACAGTTAGAGTTCTTGACGCTGGAGCGGACTCCGACCAACCTTTCGAGGAACTGTGTGACCAGCTGTCAGCCAAACTAAGCGACACACTGCAGTGCGTGTTTGTGCACTCACCTGTGTGCGCATGAGCGACTTCGCTTGAATAACTTATCGATTTTTAATTTTGAACAGCCCGTCTCACTCATTCGCAAGTCGGTTTAACTGTGCAGTTGACGCAGAAACACTGACGCTGAGAAGGTAACCAACGTGTTGCAGTTTATTTCTAAGAATCACCGTTCTGAATAGACCTAACTGACTGATATGATTTGTATTTTTTTAGTTTTCTTAGGAATTACTGATTTCACAATCGTCTGACGGCCCGTGCCATTGGACCGGTAGGGGCATTCGACCTGCCAGAGTTAAATCATGGCAGGCATAGCAAAATATGCTTTTGCTTTGACCGGTAAGTCTGCCTGCAAGATGAAATGCATACACTGTGCTTCATTAAAGTCTTTCTAGGAGGGCTTGCGTGTGGAATTGGAGCTGCTCCTAGCATACGGGTCAAATCTGTGCGGCTGAGGCCCGAAAAGGAGGTCTATCTGAGCGGCGATGTCATTTTCCACTGTGAAGTTGTCAAAGATGAGAATGGTTTTCAGTCGATTAAATCCGCTCCCCTGCAGGTGCGATACCACAGGAATGGAAAGGTTTGGAAAGACACGGGGTCTCCGAAGAGGAATGTCCAACTGATGTATGTTGATAATACAGACATGGTTGATGTGGTCTGCTACATTCAAACGCAGTCCACCCCATCCAAAGTTATAAAGTACAAAGGTGAGTCAACTCTTGTACGGGTTCTTTTGACAGCGTCAACATAAAGCGGTTGAAAAGCCACCAGTGTTCGTTTTGGTGCCAAATAAACCCACGTACGGCATCGGTGAGCGCATAATGGCCTGCAGGATCATCCACACGGGGGGCAATATAGAGGAAAATTGTCCCTTCTACATGGAGGTGATTGATTCTATCACGAAGCAGATCATCTGGGATAGTATTAGCTATGTGAGAACCGCCGAGGTCCCTTGGATCATGCGCGAATACAAATCTCTGCTGCGGATTACTTGCAAAGGAGGGGAAATGGAGGTTGGACCAAAAACCATAGAAGTTACAAGTGAGTGCACAAAAGTGAATGCATTTGGGCGGAGGCCGTTTAAATGAGATTAATTTCCAAATAGTGTTTTGCTTCGTTTTCTTTTTTAATTTCTTAGGCACCTTCTGTCTAACATTTAGCGCCTGTATTAGTGTTTTCTTTGTATAGTAGGTGATATATCTGATGAAATCTAAGCTTTTTTACAAGAAAATCCCTGGCACATAAGAATAGCCCAAGTTACGCTTCCACAAGTCTTAATGTATAAAAATAAACATCCTAATAGAATAGAGGACGTATTGTAGTTTATCACGTAATATTATGTAGTTAAGTAAAATTAGTAATTTAAAAAAATACAGAGATATCCGAAAAGCTAAAAAATTGGGACAATTAAGAAAACCTAAGTTTTAAATGTACCGGTAGTTCGTTCATGCAGAAAAAGCGAGAGATAAAAGTAGCCCAAGTAGAATTTGGTTCAAAAGTAGTACGTTGGTGACATTTTCGGATAAGTATGCTTTCACATTGCGCGCAATATAAATTATCGTATATTCCGGAAGCAGAACAGCACTGGAACGCAGAGAGCAAATAGCACACAAAAATATCCAGTTCTTACTCTATTTCTATCCTCCTGCCGGTATATCGGACTAAGTAAACCAAATTTTCACTTAATTGATCAGAGGCAAACGCCCTAACCACAGAGCCACGAGTTCGTTGTCGGTAAGGGGCCATCGTGGGGTCCGCAAAGTGCGAGCGAAGGTCGCCCCACTTCAATACCTGCACCTGGTTTTAGGAGGTAGAATGGTTGGGGCACACTGGGGGACAAATCAGTGCGCAATAGTCATGTGAATTAGGAAAAGTACGCCTGTAAGTTGGGGATGATCGCCGACCGTTGGCGGGGTCACTGAGGTACAGCTTTTTTTAATAGCATCACTAACCCCAATAGGAGTAACGTCGAGCGAGCGAAAAATTGAAAGGCTGTGGAAATTTACCCTACTTAAAATGTTCAAGTAAGCGGTTATTCCCATGGTTAATTTACAATGTTAGTTTACTTAATGAATTGACTTAAGCAGCTATTGTACATGTTGGCCCTCCGAGGACCCCTCTGCAGTTCAATATCATCATCAATTCCTACTGGACCAACGGCGG